GGTCAAAGGACTGGAACTTCTTAAGCAGTTGTCCTGTTAACATGGTGATGGAATCCTCATGGGCCACTAGCCTTTGTGGTGTGTGAATTCCTGACTTCTTATTGTTAGGGTGAGACAGTCCTTACTTGCCTGTGCCGCCCCCCTCAGACACCTGAAGTACCCCTAGGGGTGGACGTGGGCAAAAGCTTTCAAACTTTATATTGCGCTCCATAACTAAAGTTTAAAGCATAGCCTAATAGCACGCATATAACAAAGATTTTGAACAGTGTTTACCCTTAATATATTGTTTCATACAAACACATAATTAGTCACAGTCACTGGGAAGACTGGGTCTGGTTCATGAACTCAGCGTTACATGTCAAGCTTGGATGCAGGGACAGGGCACTCTGGTTTGCTAAGCTGAGAGGTTACTGTCTGTGCTAATGATCAATGGCGCAGAAGTATTTAAGCAAGCCCTTTAAAATAAGTATCCCTGACTTCCAGCGTTTCTAAAGCAGGTCTGCAAATTAAACCTCTAGAGATAGTGACTGTTTTGGAGGCCATTGCAAAATAGGAAGAGAAAAACTTCTTTGGGGTATCTGATTGGAGATGAGTCACAGGAAGCTCTATGGAGCCAGCATGAGAAATGGAAACGTTGCTGTGTGAATTAGATTTGTTGTCACTTTGTGAGGCAGACAAAGGTGCTATTTGCTTCTCTGCCTGACTGCTTTCCTACATTCCAGCTAAACATTGGTAAAGCTGCCTGCCTGGGCATCTCCAGGACAACTCCTGAAGCTATTGACACCTCAGTTTTGCATCAGTGCCCCATCTACCTCTCTAGGATTAAGCTGTAATGCAGATAAGTGGATGTTTTGCTGGAGGGTGAATGCAGAGCAAGGCCTGCTGCTTCCTCCTGTGCCATGCCCTAATTCTTCAGAACAGAATGGGGTCAGAAGTTGAAAAGGCTATGCTCATTTAGCTGGGCACTGGAGAACACATCTCTATTTGATTTGCCCTTTTAAACAAAATCTGTTCTTCTCAAACCATTTTCTAGCACACCTACCAGGTGTGCTGTTGTCTTGGCCATGTCTCTGGAGATAGAGGCTGTTTCGGGGGTAGATGTCGTGGACCATGGGGGAATGTGATTTTCAAAGATATTTCAGTCATGGGGGAGATGGGAGCATTTTCCCTCGCCCTTCTCTCCTTATGACTCATTGTAACAGATGATTTTTAAAAGCAGTCGATTGCTCTTTCTTTTCTAGCCCACACCAGTTATCCTGTTGAAAGAGGGGACTGATAGCTCCCAAGGCATCCCCCAGCTTGTAAGTAACATCAGTGCCTGCCAGGTGATTGCTGAAGCCATAAGAACCACCCTGGGCCCCCGTGGCATGGACAAGCTCCTTGTGGATGGCCGAGGTAAGTCTGCAGGCTCCTCAAGGCAGTGTGCAGGACAAGGCTTCTGGGGAGTGCTGGGGCTAGCAGAGGTTGGCATCAGAAAACTTACTGCTTCAGATCTCTGAGGGATTGCTCACTATGAAGTGGCTCCACTTCATACATAGTCCTGAATGCTGAGCCCTGGGGGGATATATGGGAGAAGCTGGGCTCAGAAGACTGTTGCCTTGTAGAGAGATACAACCTAGAAACATGTGATCCCTCCCATTGTATCATGGTGCCAAGACAAAGGACAAGTTCCCTTTTATGTTTTAGTGTATTAATTGACATGTGAGATACCAGGGTATTAACTTGGTTAAGAATATCTAAATGATTACTCATTGTCATTTAAAAAATATTTTGTACATCCATTTGAGGTGTGCCAAATGCTGCTCAAAGAAAAGTAGGTGCTCAGAGTCTTTGGAAAATTGCCGTGTAGGAAAGTTTAGCAGACTAGTGACTTTAGGTGGCCTTTTGTGCACAGAACTCTCTATAAAAAGATGAGCTTATTTGCACCATGGTGCCCTCTGCCCCATCCTAATAAAGGGTGCATGGGCTCCAAGTCCAACTAGAAGACCTTTTAAGAAAGGGTCTTTGAATTTTCACTTTGTGTGTTCCTTTGAAGGAAAAGCCACAATTTCTAATGATGGGGCCACAATTCTGAAACTCCTTGACGTTGTCCATCCTGCAGCAAAGACTTTAGTGGACATTGCCAAATCCCAAGATGCTGAGGTAAGAAAATCAAGCAGATAAGTGTAAATGGGGGTGGAAACACATGCCTGCTTGCTCCTTCACTCTCCTCTCTCTAAATGTTTTTTATTTTATATCTAAAATTATAATTTCAAAAGTAATACATTCTTGTAAAAATATTTAGGAGTTAAT